ATGATTTCTGTGTCTAAGAAGTGTTAGGGTTCTTTAGGATGGGATAGATTAGGTGGAGAGTGTTAGTTTGCTAGAGTGTTTAAGTTAGATTCGTTCGTTCCCTTCTGGATTAGTGTATTCATAGCTAGTTCTTCTCTGATCAATTGAAACTAGGTCATAGACATTTCATGCCCGAAAGGTGTATGATGAAATGTCTGAACCAACTAGTGCCAGAGATTTACACGCTTAGCCCAAGAGATTGGTTGTCTAAGATGTTTATTGACATTAATGAACTGTTCCTTCATGCATGTTTACTACATGTTTCATCAATGAGAATTGAGATTAGGAAGTGTTGTAAATTTGATAGTTTCTGCCAAGAGATTGGATTGACTAGTATTAGAAGTTTATTGTCTAAGGATTAGTATGCTTGTGGTTTGTTAAACACTCTAAGTATATTAGCATACTCCACCTACATCAATAACCTCATCCTTAGGATCTTCTATCCATTTGTGCTTTCTGATTAATTCTCTTGTTATTTACTTGTTCTACTTTATTTTCTTGCCAGTATCAATAATCGATACGTTTTAGCTTATGCATGGTAGTCTATTTTTTGCACCCTTACATTTATCGCATGTTTAACATGTTCGCTTAGGATCATTGAAAATCAAAATCATTTATGCTTCACTTCACTTAATCATTTCTGATACATCTTGATTGCTAGCATCACACCTGATTGGACTGATACCTATTGTACTGCAATGACATGATAGTACTCTAGGGTAATTGATAGAAAAATCCTAGTATCATCCATCACAACCAAACTTTTGAAGAAATTGCAAGAAATTTCATTGCAATGCAAGCTACTGGAGCCGGACTCAGATAAGCCAGAAAAGAAAAGAAAGAATCCCGAGCTCGAGCTCGGACCCGATCACCCGATCGGGTCAATCGATCGGGCCAGGATGTTCTGATTTCCAGAGAGGATGTTACAAGGGGGAAGAGGCCTGCAGAGGAGGATTTCGATGAGCCTATGGAGGATGTTTAGCCTAGGAGGGTTGTTGCACCAAGAAAGGACAAAAAGCTCCCTCCTCTTGAGGAGCTCTATGCCTTGTTTAGGCGTCACCGGAAGACAATGAAGGTTCATTGGAACCCACTACCCTCACCGGAAGACAATGAAGGAGCTGGGAATTGCACGAGATGTGGAGGTCTTTTTCAAGAGGTGCGGGCTGGGTTTGTTCATGACCAAGAACTTGGAGGCTTACGATGAGGAGGCATGCTACGTTCTAGCTTCTCTTCAGCTTCATTTCTATGAGGATGAGTCTGAAATCTACTCGGATGACTGTCTTGGCTACATCACCTTCAGTGTTAGAGGTACCACCTATTCTCTCAAATTTAAGGAGGTTGCGAATCTCTATGGCTTCGAGCAAGAAAGTGGAATGAGCCAAGATGTGCTTAAAGAGAAGATCAAGTCAGTTTGGAGAACCATTGGAGATGGGAAGGACTACACCTCCTCAAATTCGAAGAGTGCTCAAATTAGAAGCCTGGTTATAAGGTACTTCCACAAATCTCTAGCTAGTACAATTTACTCTAGGAAGGAGACCAGAGACGTGAATGAGAGCGAGATTTAGCTGATAGACATAGCATTAAGTGGAGTCTTGCCTAGCACTAGGGATGGTAGAGAACTAGTTGGAGATAGAACGGATGGTAGACTTGCTTCGGTTTTGTTTGATCAGTTGAGGTACTACAAGGATTGGGTGATTAAGGCTTTCAAGAGAGGGGTACAAGGAGAACTTAGCATAGGTGGGATTATTACTCCTCTATTGGTAGCTTGCGATGTGGAAATACGGGGAACGGTATACAATGCTCGTTGGATTGACATTGAGACTTTAACGAGGACACACAACCTCGATCATGAGCGTCCTAACGGGTTATATTTGTACAAGTTCACCCATTCTTCAGTTGGAGCAGTGAGAATGGTGCTCCCCAACACCTAGCTTACAAGGGTTAGGAAGGGGGTGAACATTAACTTCTGGCCTCCTACCACGATGTTGTATGATCCACATTTGGTTGCACATCCAGGCTATGATCCAGCTCCACAACCTCAAGCCGCACTAGAGATTAGAGAAGAAGAGGTTGCTGGGGATGAACGAGAAGAAGACTTCTAGTTTTAGGAGTGAGAAGAGTCATCGAGGAAAATGAAAGGGCTAAAGGAAACTCACAAGAAGATAAGTATTCTCCAAAAGTGGAACAAGTTCCAAAGCAAGATAATCAAAGCATTGAAGAAGACGGTAAAGGATCTTATTGCTACAGTTAAGGATATGGGAGAGCAGATCAAGGAGCTTTAGAGCAAGTTGGATGTTGAACTTCTACAACTGCTATGCATAGAGGTTTGGGTAGGAGTGCATCAACCAGAACACCAACCAAGTTCAACTTGCCAGTCAGTCCACCAAGAGTTTCATTCGACCCAAGAAGGAGTCTGTTCAGATTGAGGAGAGAACTGGGCGTTGACATGAGCATCTCACCCGATCGCACACCCGATCGGGCCAGACCATCAGACCCGATCGGGTCAACCTATCATCTCGCTGTCGACACCGAGAACATCCAGGAGGAGGTCGTAGTTGAGAAGATTTACATCCTTAGCTCATGGTTCGGTCCACCACATTTACCTTTGTAAATACCGCTTTGCATTTGCTGCTTCATTTAGATCCCAAGTCTTCTTTCAGATTTTTATTACATAAGGGACTGTGTAATTTAAGTTTGGGGAAGGGTTTGGGATATCATTTGACATGTGTTCTGTTTTCTTATTTCGAATTTTTAGCATGTTGTCTTGTATTCATCTATGTGCATCAAAAAACCTCTAAAATTTTGAAATATTTTTAGAAATTCTTTAAAAAATAGATTGGTCATATAGTTGCATTTGCATTTTAGTCTTGCTTTATGATGTTGCATTTAGGATCATTGCATTTGCATAGGGGATTAGGATGATTACAACCAAAGAATTTGTTGTTTCATTAGAATTAAAATCAATGCCCTCGTCCATAGTTGTTTAATGCAATTGTATGAGCTTGAATTGAGACCGCACCATTCTTTGATCGCATGATTTGAATTCTAGTCTAGGGAGGTTTCTTTGTTCGTCGGTGGCTGAGATTTAAGGACGTTTTCAAAGCCGGCGTTCTTGAGAGTTTCCTCAACTCTCTGGTTTCAGTCCGGTTAACAAGCAAGGCAAGAAGGCATATGCGATGTGGCCACACCGAAAACACACCGGGAGGTGAAGGTATACTAATCCGTGCTCCACTCTAACTATTTTTCGATTAGGATACGAGTATTGTTTGGTTAATTCGGAGATTTCTATGGCTATGCTGATTGTTTCGCGTCTCTTGGTTGGTTCAGTTGGACATGTTGTCCGTCTTTTGGTTTAAGACCGGAACGATAAAAGCCGGGAAACCCACGTCTTTATGATAATGCGCCTCCGGGTGGTGATGCTATAGGGACAAGCTCTACATTCCGATCTTAAGGAACTAATAGTTTCGTTTGATCTGTTTTTTCAGTTTAGACTTTGGACTTCTCCGTCCAAGTAATTGTTCTCGTGTCATTAGGGTCAATTTAGGTGGTTTAAGAGATGATTCAACACCGAGTCTTGGTGTGGTTCATCTCGAAGTGGTGGAAAAGATACAATGATTCTTAGTTGGGTAGTGTTGGATCCGCTAGTGTTTCAGGGTAATACTAGACTAGATCATTGTATTTGAGTGAAAATTGTCGAGGTCAAATGAATTTTAATATCGAATTGGTGAATGAGTAGTTGATGTGGAGCCAAAAAAACAAAAAATGAAAGTGGTATGTTCGAAAACTTTTTTAAAATGTGGTATTTACCGTAAGGGACCCACATATATGTGGTAGAAAGGTAAAAATTCCCTACTGAAACTCAAAGTTTAGATAGTGCCATTTTTCTCTTTTCCTTTTCAAAAATTCCAGTAAAAAGACAAAATTTTCCTTATAGAATAAAGAAGAGATTTGGTCCATCATAATTGGTCCTCTAGATTTGGTCCATCGGAATTGCTTAGCATGAATTGTTTATGTTCTATTGAAATCGGTTCATTGGATATGGTCTTCCAGAACTGCTCCGCCGAAATTGGTTATGGTCCACAAGAACTATTCTGTCGGTTTTGTCCATCAAAACTGGTTTGCCGGATCTGGTTTGGCAGAACTAGTCCATTGGAACAGCTTCATGAGATATGGTCTGGTCTGTTGAATCTGGTCTGTCAGAACTGGTTCACCGGAACAGGTCTGCCAAAACTGCTTGCCAGAACTTGTCCGCCGAAACTGGTCTGCCGGAACTGTTTATTATTGGAAGAAAAAGAAGAAGATGAAAGAACAAGATTGAGATAAGAAATGAAAGATACAAAGTTTTGATTGAGAACAAATTTGTCATTTACATAAGTTAAAAGTGGACCCTATGGCATTACATAAAATACTAAATTAAAAATGACATTTCATAAAAGATATGACACTATTCATGGCATTCTTTATAATTTTCTCTAATAAGAAAGCGCTTGCTTTGATAGTGATCTCTTTGTATTAAAGTAAATACTGATGAAAAATATGTCTAATTGGTTATTAACCTCTTTTCGGTGTGAAAACAATGTATATGAGTATTTAGAGTTTTCCACTATTTTAACTTTTTTTTCATAGAGATTCTTAATCCTTTTTTTTTTTTTCAGGTCTTGTATTTTATTCTAACAAACTAACGTCTAAATTGGATAGTGAACTATATATATGTGTTCTCTAGCTTGTGTTTTTAATGTATAATGGTGGTGAATAGGATATTCGTACTAAAACAATGAGTTGGTTATAATTATCCCACTATATAAAAACTCAATATGCATGAAAACAAATATATTATTTTTGAAAGTTTATGAGTAAATAAATATATTCTGAATGCGCCACCATTATTAACCATACTAGTCCATATAATGCAAGAAGCATTGAGATATAACTATATAAACGGGGTTCAAATGAGTTAACAGTTAATAAAAATAATTCGAATGGCTAGCTTCACGAAGATACTCATCCATATCTATAAATAAATTAAGAAACGTGCTCATGATGGATTTTGGATCTTTGATCTTAAAGCTGATCTTCCAGTACTTAACTGTGTAATCGTACGGTCACAACCATTTTCTTCCACATGAATGATCGTCATGGTTCCTTCAAACTTCTTGTATCTATCCAAGTTATGCCACATGGGAATGTCATAGCTGATGGTTCTTTTGAGCGACTTGTATCACTACGAGATTTGAAAGCCATTGTTTCTAAATGTAGTTTTATTTTTTGAAGGTACAGCCTCAGTCTCAACCGTGACTAGAGTTTTAATCAATTAATATATATATATATATATATATATATATATATATATATATATATATATATAATAGTAT